CTTCTTCCCGGAAGGGCGACGACAGCTTCCCGGAGGTCGATTTTAGCAGCCACGGATTCAGCAGCCTTCGCCCGGCTTCCGACTTGCAGCGGTGTTTTTTTGTTGGTTTCGCTGCGTCGGATCTCGGTGCTCCTCTCCGCGGCCGTCTCGGGGGACTCGGGCCCCCACGGCCCCCCCAAGACACCCAGCGGCGTCGGGCCGTGCGGCGAGGTCTTCCCAGGCCGCCGCTGCCATGATTTTCTTCGCGACGTCGACCCCAGAGGTCCCGACCCATGCCCGTGTCGGGAGGAGGAGGAGGAGGAGGAGGAGGAGGAGGAGGAGAAGGAGGAGGAGGAGAGGTCCCGACCCATGCCCGAGGCCCGGATTAACGGCCCCCAGGCCCGAAACGAGCGAACAGACATTCCGTCGCGGTTTTGTCATGACTCGAGGGGGTTTGGGCTTCGGGGTTCCGCGGTCGCCGCACTGTCTGCCTCCGCACCAGTCTGACACCCCCGAGGTACCCCGACGGCTCCACCCCGCTCCACTTCGCAGCGGCCTTCGGCCTCGAGGCCTCCGTCCGCAGCCTTGCGGGGGCCGGCGCGGACGTGTCCGCGGTGGCCGGCACGGGCCTGCAGCCGATCCACGCCGCGGCCATCATGGGCCATCGGCACCACCAAAACTTGGGGAACAAACGATCACATGAGCATAAACTGTCGGAGGTCCGCGCGGAGGCGCCAGAGGCGCCGCCAGGGGGGGGCAGCGCCGATCCGAGAAATCCGCCCGGACCTCCGAAACTTTGTGTTTATGTTTATCGGCTGTTCCCCTACAAGCAAGCATGCTCATACCATGTGCGCGCCGCCCCCACAGGGGTGACGCGCGCGCCAAGAAAGCTTGCAGTATATGCTCGGTGGCGGACGCGTTTTGGCCACACCGGTCGGGAAGCGATCTACCGAAAGATTTGAGGACTATCTGCTCGAATCGGGCGTGCGCCTCCAGCATGAACACATAGTACTGGTACGTCCTTCTGCGCCCCAGGCCACGCCGCCGTCGCGCAGCTGCTGGTGGAGTCTGGCGCGGACGTGGACGCTCGCCACGGCTTCGCGGGCAACACCCCGCTGCACTTCGCCGCCGAGATGGGCCACGCCGCGGTGGTCCGGCGCCTGTGCGAGCTCGGCGCCGACGCCGAGGCGGAGAAGACCCACGGCGGCGTCGCCCTCCATGTCACGGCGGACACTAACAATGCCCAGGCGAGCGGCGCAAGGAAAATGGGGTCGTCGTCCACCGACATTGGCGCGTAAGCGTCCCGCGTTCGCGCGCAAGCGCCCTCGTTTCCGATACAGCGGGACGCGCCAACGGCCCGCGCAAGGCACCGCGCAAGGTCGCTGACTACGTCACCTCGCGGAAGACCCGTGGCTTTTTGTCGCCCAGGTCGCCCGCACGCTGCTGGCGCACCCCTGCAACGCCAGGCCCGACCCCGTGCTCCTCGGCGACACGGTGCCGCTCTACCTGGCGGCCGGGCGCGGCTTCCCCGAGGCTGATGGGCTTGTTTTCCACCTCCACCACCACCACCATAGCTTGGAGGAGGAAGGAGGAGGAGGAGGAGGAGGGAGGAGGAGGAGGAGGAGGAGGAGGAGGGGGACTCCCTCCACCTCCAACTTGTGGTGGTGGTGGTGGTGGTGGACAACAGGCCCATCAGAGGTGATCCGGGTGCTGCTCGAGGCGGGGGCGAACCCCGACCGGACGCTCTGGCCAGAGCGGCCCTGGGCGCCCACCGGCCGCGGCGGCAAGGGGCGGCGGAGGAGGAGGCCTCGGAGGCCCCCAAACGGTGCGGTGGCCACGCCGCCTCCGACCCATCGGGGGGCTCGAGGCTCGCAGTCTCGGAGGTGGATAGACCTCCTACCCTGACACGTCGATTGGTGAATTGTCCGTCTTCGGCTCTCGAGGGGGCGCCGCGGCCGTCATTTTCCAGGCTTGCGCCCGCCAGGTTTGGGCCTGGGGTCGTTTTCACGAAGCCACGTGTTGCGAAGGGGAGGTCTGTCCATCTCCGAAAGTCTTCGGACGTCTTCGTCTGTTCCCGGCGGCTCCCTCCAGCCGCGGGGTGCTCTCTCCAGCTGCCCTGCGCCTCGCCGAGAGCTTCTCCCGGCAGCGCCAGGAGATCGTCCCCCGAGGGGCCGCCCGACGCCCGAGCGCTGCGAGCCGAAACACCACCAGCAGGCGTCGAGGGCCCCCCCGACCGGTGTGGTGACCGTGCGGCGCGGCGAGTCGGGGGTCGCAGCGAACAGAGCACCTGCTCCTCCACCCTCCTCCTCGTCCTCCTCCTCCTCCTCCTCCTCCTCCTCCTCCTCCTCCTCCTCCTCCTCCTCCTCCTCCTAAGTCCCCCCCCCCTACAGGACGCACGATGGCAAACAGACGCGTGAGGCAGAGGTGCGGAGCCAGACACCCCCTCCCCGGGGTCGCCGCGCGTTGTTGGGACTCTGAGCCTCCCAGGCGGGGTCCGAGTAGACGGGGTCTCTCGACCGCGCCGCATCGCCGATGCATCGCCGAGGATCGTCCCGCAGGGCCAGGAGGATCGTCCCGCAGGGCCGCCCGATGCCCAAGCTGCGAGCCGAAGACCACCATGCAGGCGTCGAGGGCCCCCAGCCGGTGTGGTGACCACGCGGCGTGGCGGGTGGGGGGGGGGATGTGGGGTCGCCGCGCGGCGTTGGGACTCGGAGCCTCCCAGGCGGGGTCCGAGCAGATGGGGTCTCTCGGCCGCGCCGCCTCGCCGATGCATCGCCGAGGCGTCGTCGCCCTCCTCCTGCCATCTCGTCCTCCCAGCGCGCGCGCGTTGGGCGCGTCGCGGCCGCGCAAGCCACGCGTCTGGCGTGTCCGTCGCCCGATCTGGCGCGCACTTGGCGCGTCTGCTGCGCACGTGCCCACGCGTCCCACCGGACGCACGGCTTCACGGACGGACTGACGACGCCGCCAGAGTGCATCGGCGAGGCCTCGCCGCTGCATCGGCGATGCGTTGGCGACGCGTAGGCGAGCCTCCGACCCCCAGCGCGGATCCCCTCCCTTGAGAGGCCTCGCCGGGGACTCGGGCCGCCCTCCCAGGGGCGCCCCTCGGGCGGCCCCCGGGGCCTCTCCCCGAGGCTCCCGGGAGACCGCGCGGCGGCGGGCCGCGCTGTGCGAGGTCTCTAGTGTGGGAGTCCGAGGGTCACCGCGCTGTCCGTCACCACGCGGCCCTTGAGGTCCTTCTTCTGTTAGCAGCCGAAGGCGAGCGCGCCAGCGGCGAGTAAGGTCCGAGCGGGCCGCGCGGGGGCCGAATTACCTAGCGCGAGCCCCCGAGTCCTCGAGGTCCAACGCATCGGTAAAAATCGAGGCGAAGGCTGTTCGCTAGTTTCGGCCTCTGCAGGCCCTCGCCAGGCCCCGGGGCCGTCTAAAAGTCATTCGGGATGAGAAGCCGGTCCTGGGGAGTGGGTCGAGACTTCCGGAGACCTCGTATCGAAAAGGGAGATCCCACACTCGAAACACCGAGGCATCGGAGCTCTGAGGCTCTGGGACCCCCGAAGGAAGGCCGTGGAGCCAGACGCGAGGCAGGCCCTGCAGGCGAGCGTGGACCCCGCGACCCTGAACGTGGGCAGCGACCCCCGGGCCCCCGGCTGGGAGGCCGGCAACGGCGCCACCGCGCTGCACAACGCCTGCGAGAACGGGCACCTGGCCGCCGCCAGCGCGCTCCTGGACGGCGGTGCCCGGCAGCTGGCGACGATGGGGGGCATCACGCCGCTGATCAGCGCGCTGCAGTACCGGCACTCGGAGCAGACATGCGTTCGTCTTGCTGGGGCCTGTTATACCCAGGAGAAGCCAGAACAACAGGGCGGAGGGTTGCTGCTAGCGTCTGGCCTCCGGGGGCCTTCGCCCGACCCCAGGGGCCGTCAGAAGCAGAACTCGGGATGAACGACCGGTCCTGGGGAAAAAAAGGTCGGGACTTCGGGGGGGCCGCACCGAACAGATCGGGGCATGGGACGCCTGGGGAGGAGGCAGCTCACTGCCCACTGAGCCTCCCCGACCCAACCCGATGGCCCCAAGTTGCCCTCCATGTCCAATGCGGGGGGGGCATCCCAGGGCAGTGGCCAAAACCCACATGGAACGCGAACGCCCCCCAAGCCGAAATGTAGGACTTCGGGTTGGGTTGGGGTGGTCTGGTGGTCTGATAGGTAGCCAAGAGCCGCATAAACACAAACTGCCGCAGGTCCGGACGGATTTCTTGGATCGGCGCCGGGCCCCGCTGGCGGCGCCTCCAGCGCCGTTCCTGACGCGGCCCCCGCGCCAGGGAGGGGTGTCCACTGCCGATGCAAGATGCCCACAATCCTGAGATCCGATGGCGCGAAAAGCATGGTAGAAATCACGTCCCGAGCCCTCGACCCCATCCTTCTGCGCCATTTCTCGAGCCGGGTCGATCTGCCCAAGTGTCTGAAACCAGGCCGAAACGCCCGACTCGAACAACAATGCAACGCCAGGATCCCAGGGCACGTGGATCTCCGCAAGTCTGTGTTTGCGCAGGCACCCGCGCGTCGCGGCGGCGCTGCTGGACCACCCGACGCCAGCGAACGTGGGCGTCGTGTCGCCGGCCGACGGGCAGACCGCCCTTCACATCGCCTCCGGGTACGGCTACCCCGAGGTCAGGGGAGGCGAAACGCACCCCACCCCGGAACAGACGCACCCTGGAGAGGGCCCCAGGGCCCTCCTCGGGGCCCCCAACGGCTGCGTTCTGGTGCCCACCGCGGCTGGAGCCGTGGCCGCTGGCGAAGACTGGTGATGAAGAATTGCTTGCGAGTGGCCGGCACGCTCGCTCGCCTGGCCGCGCATTTCCGCCCAGAGGGGCGGTGCAGCGCGCGCGTGGGCGTCGGCAGGGCAATCGTGGCGCACCTGCTGCGTTGCTCCATCTCTGCTGGACTGGGCATCGCTCGGACGTGTGAATTTTTCCTCGGCGAGAACCATCGAGGACCATCCTGGACCATCGAGCAACAAAAAAAAACACGAAACCGACAAATGCACGGGACATGGACGTCCGCGCGACGGCAAGTGTAAGTGACCGTGGCTTCGAACCGTGGCCGCTGCGACTCCTCACGAGAGGCTGGGTCGTCCTGGGGGTCCCATAACGAGGTCGTGGCCCGCATCCTGCGTGAGGGCGGCAGCGCCGACGTGCCCGACCGGCGCGGCAGCCTCGCCGCGGACTACGCGAAGAGCGCGCTGATCGCGCGGCTGCTGGACCGCTTCAGGTCGAAGAAGAAAAACATCGCTCGGACGTGCAGGCGAGGACCATCGTGGTGCATCTTGGATCATCTTCTGAGGGGAAATGCGAGACGCGAAACCGAACAGTGCAATGAGAATGGACGTCCGAGCGATGGCAAGAGAAGCGGCATAGGCATACGCTTTCGGGGCTCCGCGCGGTTTTCTCGGATCGGCGTTGGGCCCCCCTGGCGGCGCATCCGGCGACGCCCTTGGCGCGCTCCGCGCGCAAAGGAGGGGGGCCGGGCGCACATCCAAGAAATCCGCGCGGGCCTCCCCAAGTTTGTGTTTATGCCGTGTTCTGCTCCTCTGTATCAGGGGTGATGGGCATGTTTCCCACCAACACCACCATAAGTTGGATGTGAAAGGAGTCTGCCTCCTCCTCCTCCTCCTCCTCCTCCTCCTCCTCCTCCTCCTCCTCTTCCTCCTCCTCCTCCTCCTCCTCCTCCTCCTCCTCCTCCTCCTCCTACTCTACTCCTACTCCTCCTCCCTCCTCCTCCTCCTCCTCCTCCTCCTCCTCCTCCTCCTCCTCCTCCTCCTCCCCCCCTCCCCTCTTTGCGCGTCCCCCCATCCAACTTCTGGTGGTGGTGGTGGTGGAAAACAGGCCCAGACAGGGGCCGCGAGCCGCGGCTGGACAGGGCCGTGCGGGAGAGGGGCGGAGCCCAGGCCGAGGACCTGGCGGCGCGCCTGGATGGAAGAAGGGACAGCGGCACGAGCACAGACCCTCCGGGGCCCGCGCGGATACTCCCTGGATCGGCTCCTCCTCCTCCTCCTCCTCCTCCTCCCCCTCCTCCTCCTCCTCCTCCTCCCGCTCCTCCTCCTCCTCCTCCTCCTCTCCTCCTCCTCCTCAGGCTCCTCAGGCTCCTCCTCCTCCTCCTCCTCCTCCTCCTCCTCCTCCTCCTCCTCCTCCCAGGCTCCTCCTCCTCCTCCTCCCTCCTCCTCCTCCTCCTCCTCCTCATCCTTCTCCTTCTCCTCCTCCTCCTCCTCCTCGTCCTCCTCCTCCCCCTCCTCCTCCTCCTCCTCCTCCTCCTCCTCCTCCTCCTCCTCCTCCTCCCCCTCCTCGCCAGCGTCGCCGCCGGAGGCGCCGCCAGGGGCGCCCGGCGCCGGGCGGAGATCTAAGTACCCGCGCGGACCTCCCAGTGCCTGTGCTCGTGCAGCTCTCCTCTTCGCCTGCCGGAGCGAGTCCAGGGCGTGCCAGAGGCCGCCCGGCAGCGGTACCTGGGCTTCGCGCGCCTCCACGACCAGGGCGTCCTCGCGGCAGCCGGTGAAAAAAAAACGCTGTAAACATAATCTGTTGGCGCTCTGCGCGGATTTCTTGGCCCCGCGCTGGGCCCCCCTGGCGGCGCCTCCGGCGCCGCCCCTGGCGCTCTCCGCGCGCCAGGGAGGGGGGTCCGGCGCAGATCCAAGAAATCTGCGCGGAGCGCCAAAAGTTTGTGTTTACAGCGATTTTTTCTTCTTCTAGGAAGAGGCGATGCGGTTGGCGAAGGCGCTGAAGGGCGCGCAGGAGCTGGCGAGGCGACCCGGCGCGGGCAGGGAGGAGCGCGACCGGGCGCGGGCGCTGGCCGATGAGTTCTGCGTGGCGCGCCTCGTCCTGGCCGGGGGCGACGCACCGACGGCGGTCGAGGTCATGCTGATGAAGAGCAGCGAGAGCATGACGGCAGGCCTGCTGCTCCTGGGCGTCCACGTGGACGCGCTGGACTACGTGCCCGAGAGGCAGCTCACCATCAACGGCCGCGACGCCCTCGCGGCCGTCGGCTCCCTGATAGACGCTGCCATGGGCAGCGCTGCCAGGGGCCACGCCGAGGACTTCGAGGAGGCCCTGGAGGAGGTGCGGGCGATCGCCGACGGGCGCGCGCGGCGGGGCGGCGCGGGGCACGAGGGCAGGCCTCCCGTCGAGGACGAGGAGGGCTCGCTGGAGCTGTGATCCAGACGCTGGGCCTGTGCCACGTCCGCCGGGGGCGTCGTGGGCCCTGCCAGGGGGCTTCTCGGGACGTCCGGGGCATCCATCGGGACAAAATCTTGTGGCGTCTTTTGGGGGGGGTCTGCTTTGGAGCCCTCTCGGGTCGTCAATGGGGGGCCGACTTGGATCAGCTTGACGGGCCCTGGGGTCCCTCAGACGCCCTCTGGGGGCCGACTTGGATCAGCTTGACAGGCCCTGGGGTCCCTCAGACATTTTTCCTGAACTGTCTTGGGGGTATATTTCCCTGTCTTTGGTCGTCTGGAACTCCTGTCGTGTCTAGTGAAGCCTTCTGATGAGTTCGAAACGCTCCAGGGATCAGATTGGGCTGAGAGCCTGGAAAGCATGGAATCTACGAACAACTGTTCAATGACTTTGTGCATGTAGGTCTCTGGAGACCTCTCGTATGCGATTGGGGGCCCCGTAATGAGGATCGCTTTCGTCATCGTGCACGTCTCTCGAGCTTCATCCGAGCAAACCGCCGCACAGACCCCCTTCAGACAGAGCTCTGAGGACAGGGGTGGGAGGATGGGGGAATACGGAGCGGAAGGAGTCTCGGCTTGGTGCCTCAAAGGGGTCCCAGACACCCGACGTGGTGATTTGTTCACCACGTTGATCCTCGGAAGTCTCGGCGGGCTTTTCCTCCGCCGTCGTTATGTTGACGGTCCTGGGGCCAAGCGGAGGCCCAGGGAGTCCGACAATTGCAAAAACGTGTCCGTCGCGTTTTCTTTCCACGGCGCAAAGGAGGTCTGTCGGCGGCAAGCGAGGGGGGGAAGTGAGAAGGAGAAGGCCTTCTCAGAAGGCGGCGGGACTTCTCAGAAACTCTCGCGCCTTCTGAGAAGTTTTCTGCGTCTTCGGGGGCAGGCATATCGACCATTTCCTGAGGAGGCCGGGGGAAACTTCCGAGCCTTCTGAGAAGGCCCGCCCTTTCTCACTTCCCCCCTCGCTCGCCGCCCCCTCTCGCTTCTGGGGTCGATGGATACTTGCGCTCCCGCCGCTGCCTGGCGGCAGTCCTGGGGTGAGGCGCGCGCTCGCCATCCTGGGCGTCGCAGAATGGGGGGGGGCGATTCACGGGAGGGGGCGGCGCGGACTGCAGACGAGGTGCCCTCTGGGGCCCCTCAAGGGGCCCTTTAGGGCCCAAACGGGGGCCCCGAGGGCCCCCCTTCCATTGATCGCTCCCCCACCACCACCCATTTATCGTTCCTCCCCCCCCTTCATTATCGCCCCCCCCACCCCCGTCCATTCATCGCTCCCCCAACCCCGATTTAGCGTTCCCCCCTCCCTCCCTCTAATTTTCGCCCCCTCCCCCCCCCCCTTTCCCCCCTTCCCCCCCTGAATTTATCGCTCCCCCACCCACCATTATTTATCGCTCCCCCCCCATCCCCTTATTTTCGCCCCTCCCCCCACCCACCCCGCCCCCATCGATCCCCCGGAAAGCGACGCCCACGCTTCGCCGCCAGCAGGCCGGCCTGCCGATCGCCCCAAGGAGGCCGCGGGGTCTCTCGGCGCCGCGCTCGCCGCCGGGCGCGCGGGCGCGCCATGCTTCGGAGAACGAGGGGGAGGAACGGCGCAGAGCATCGCGAGGAAAACGAAGGTCGTAGGGGAACAAATTCTTGGCGCTTCGCGTACACAATGTTCTCACGCTTACAGTCCGCGTCAGTGGCCACTCCGCGACCCCCCCTAGTGCGCCTCGGCTGGACACGACGCTGTACTACAAGTTCCGGCTCCTCGGAAAAGGGTTTCGTCCTCGGCGTGGCCTGAGCCTGAGCTGCGGCGCGTTTCCCCGTCTCCGCCGTGTTTTCTTTTCGTTTCGCCCCTCTCGTCTCGTCTTCTCTTCTCGCTGCTTTTCCGTCCTTCGGTTCTCGCCCTCGGTTGCCTTTTAGCTTCGCCTGCCTCTGTCCCCGCTCTGTAGCTTTCGCCACCCTTGTGGCCCGTGTTCCGCCTCACACTTGCGACAGCAAGGCTCGCGCTATTTTCTCGACTTTACTGGCGGCGCGCGGCTGACCGCGTCGCTCGCGAGCAAAAAAGTACACGTTGTTTACGCTCCTCGGCGTCCCTCGGCGGCAGTTTCGGCGGCCTTTTAGTTGGCGCGCTTAGGTAATTAGGTTTGGTTTGTAGCCCGGGCTCACTTCGGACGCCGCCTGCGCATTCGCCTGCAGCTGCGACGACAAAGTACACACTGTCCATTTTTCAGTTTTCGAAAGTTCTTTGTTTTTTTGGGGGGCCAAGATCCTTTCATTTCTGATTGTTCTATCCTGGGCCTCTTCCTGGCCACTGGGGGGCCAGGAACAATGAGAAACGAACGCAATTAGAAATGAACACGATTCGGAAACGAACGACAAGCACATCCCCACATAAGAGTGGCGTCCGTGGACTTCCGCTCCTTGGTCGTAGGTGGGGTCGCTCTCTTCCCCTACACTTGCATCCAGCCCGACACCTTCATGGACGTGATCCCGGTCTGCTTCGTGATGCCGTCCGCGCCATTTTGGTTGTGCTGAGCTCCGTCCCGCTGTGTGCATGGCCTTTCCGTTTTTCCTTTTTAGCTTGTGGCGCGGCCTGCTCATTGTTCGGCGTTCGACTCGTTTCGCGCGCCCTCGCACCAAAAAGTATATCCCCACCAGCCCATCCAGAAGCAGATCGCCAGGCGAGTTGCCCTGACCAGGGAAGTGTCGAAGCGTGAACTGTCACAACTGCCTTGGGAACACTTCCTCGGAGTTCTGACTGTCCGCGCCTCCCGCCCCGCCCAGGCCCAGGGGAGATACATGGGTAGAGGTCAAGCTACCCACCCGCCCGCAAGCCGTCTAGCTCACTCGCACCCGCCCTCTCAACAGATAACTGACCCGAGCCTGAGCATGTTCAGCGGTCGTCTTTAGACGGGCACCCACTGGGAACCAAAGCCGGCCACAGGGAGGCGCGCGACACCCGAGCGAGGTGCGCCACGCGTGTCAGGCGCGCCACGCGCGCCAGGCACCCCTGGGGTCCGAGCGTGCCAGGCACGCTTGGTGCGCCAGATGCGCCACGTGTTTCGAGTGCGCCAGGAGCGCCGCACACTCCAGCCGCGCCAGGTGCGCCACGCTCGGGGCACGTGCACAGTGCGTCCGGTGCGCTTGCGCACGTGACAGCACACATCGGGAAACATGTCGGCCCCCGCCATCCTTGTCGAAAACCCATGCCCAATCATTGCTTGTGGTGCGCCTGCGCACAGCAGGCCACGCGCCACCATCCCCGCCGACCCTGTCGAAAACCACTTGGCAGTGATCGCGGGGAGGTCGCGCATGATTCAGCCGCGTGGTCCAGATTTAGCGCGAAGTGTATGTTGGATTGTCGTCTTGTCTGGGATGGTAGTCCTGCGCGCAGTAGGCAATATGTTGACACCCCCGCCGTCCTTTTTTGGCAAAAACAATACACAGTGCTCGCGGGCCTATCGAACATGATTCAAGTTTTCGCCCCACAGTGTACTGTGTACTGTTTGTTGACAGGGATGGTGGGGGGGGGCCGCATCGGGTTGGTTGCGCATGCTCCGAATTTGGACGCAGAGTGTGATTTGCATGTTGTTGACAGGGATGGCTGGGGGGGTGAACATGTGGTTGGCACTGTTCCTGGTTGGCTGCCAGTCGCCTGGTGGAGGGGGGTGTATACGAATTGGGAACAGTAGTAAACCCCTGTCCGGAGCAGAGGAAGGAGGGGCTTTGGCAGAGAGAAGGCACAACTCGGTAAACCGCCTACGCCCAGAGTGCTGGTGGGATTGCATAAGCAGAAACTTCGGAGCTCCGAGCGGTCTCTTGGCCTTGCGCTGGACTGGACGCCCCCTGTGCGGCACCTCCAGCGCCGTTCCAGGAAGTCCGCGCGGCCCCCCTGACAGCTTATGCTTACGCAATTCAGGGTCCATCTCGATCCGATCGATCCGGTTCGATATCGAGTTCGATCCGTTCGGTTCGATTCGATTCCGATTCCCCGGCGATCTGGGCGGCCCGATGCTTGCATGGCCTTGGTGTGCATCTTGGCGCAGCCGATCCGATTCGATGTCGATTCCGTGCCGATGCAGCCCGAGCCGATGCACATTTCGATTCGGCCCGATTTACCGATTCGATGCTGATAGATCTACAGATGCCAGGGTGGCGCTGCGTGGAGGCCCTCGCGCGGAGCGTACCCATGGCATCGCCTACCCGTGCGATCGCGCCGCGATGTCCAGAGTAGGGGCGATCGAGACAGGTACCGTAGCACCCCGCAGATGCGGATAGGAGTGAGGGGGCGGTGGGGACGTCGGCAGTTTGCGAGACCCTGGAGAAGCCCGCCGCAGGCGCCACAGTTTCACAAATTATGCAACGAGCCCGCCGCAGGCGCCAACTTGTACGATGAACCAATGTGGGTGGGTCGCGGGTGGGTCGCAAATGGGTCGGGGGTGGGTCGCGGGTGGGTCGTTGTTGGGTCGCGGATGGGTCGCGGGTGTAGAAGGCAGACAATCCACCCCATAAGAATCACCCCGACAAGCGAAGCCGTTTAGTAAACGCACACAAAGAATGAATCGAACAGGGCAGGGCTGTTTAGTAAACGCCCAGGGCCGTTTAGTAAACGTCACTTGTCGCGGCCGGGTGGTTTTTCCTCCCTTGAAGGTGGATCGCGGGGTGGGTCGCGGGTTGGTCGCGGTGTGGGTCGCGGGTGGGTCGCGGATGGGTCGCGGATGGGTCGCGGGGTGGGTCGCGGGTGGGTTGCGGGTTGGGTCGCGGGTGGGTCGCGGATGGGTCGCGGGTGGGTCGCGGGGTGGGTCGCGGGTTGGATCTTGGTGGGTCGCGGGGTGAGTCTCGGGGTGGGTCGTTGGGTGGGTCGCGAGGTGGGTCGCGGGTGAGTCGCAGGTGGGACGACGACAACAAACAACAATAACAACAACAGCAACAACAACAACCTTAACAACCTTAACAACAACAACAACAACAACAACAACAACAACAACAACAACAACCACAACAACAACAACAACGCAACAAGCAGAATTCTCACCACGAATTCCCTATTCAGCCACGCGCCCAGGGACAATGAATGACCGTTCGCCCCCCTCACTCTGACGGAAATAGTGGGTACACACATGCTCCCGTCGAAACAAAAAATCACGACGAGAGGTGTTCGGCCATGTTTGGCCTCCAGGGGCGTTCGCCAGACCCCAGGACCGTCAGGAAAGGATTCTGAATGAAAAACCGGTCCTGGGGAAAGGTACGGGACTTCCGGAGATTTGGTATTGAAAAATTCAAGAGTTCGCAGGTCTGGGTGCGAAGACCGACAGCATGCCCTGCCCATTTTAAACAGGACTTGCTGTCGGTGTCGCCGCGGACGCTGTCTATTGCGACAGACAGCCGCTTGCACCACAGAGGCCGCTGTCGGTTTTGGACAACATTCGCTGTTGGGCAGCCTGCCCTTGTTGTGCCGTGCCCATGTCGGGAGTCCAAGCTGACCGCGATGGCATGGATCCCCCACGAATGGAATGGGTCCTGAGGGAGCCGGGGGCCCTGGACTCCGGGATGTTCTCGAGGGCCAGCTCTTCATAGCCAAGACGCTGAAAGAAGGACCGCGTTGGGTTCGGAAGGGGCCGGCCGTTCTTCGAAGTCCTTCCATGGCTGTTCCTCGGGCCACCCTCGTGCACGCACAGGCGCTTTTTGGGGGCCCAAACGGGGCTTCGTTCCTCATGTAGCGTCCCTTCCCGTCTCTGCCCCGAGTCGCTTCTTGGCGGTCCTGGGGCCCGCGGAGGTACACGCTGTTCGCTTCTGATTTTTCGAACGTTCTTTGATCTTTGGGGGGGCCAAGACCCTTTCAGCTCTAGTTGTTCTGTCCTGGGCCTCTGCCTGGCCACTAAGTAAGGGGCCGGGAACACTTAGAAACGAGCACAGTGAGAGCCGAGCACGATTGGACGTGAACGACGTGCACATCCCCCGCCAGGGGCCGCCCCTCGCGGACCCCCGCGGGCGCCCGCCGCGAGAGAGCCGCGGGCGCCGGGGCCGGCGCCGCGCTTCTCGCCGCCGGGGCCGCCAGCGCGCCGCCGCCACGGCGACCGAGCGGGCGCCGCGGGCGACCGCTACGAGCAGGACGAGGAGGAGGAGGAGGAGGGGGAGGAGCAGGAGGAGAAGGAAGAGGAGAAGGAAGAGGAGAAGGAGGAAGAGGAGGACGACGACGACGAAACGACCACGACGACGACGAGGACGAGGCGACGACGGCGACGACGACGCGACGACGACGACGACGACGACGACGAGGACGAGGACGACGACGACGAAGACGACGAGGACGAAGAGGACGACAGGACGAGAACGGAGAGGACGACGAGCGGAAAGAGGACGACGACGAGGATGACGACGACAACGGCGCGGCGAGGACGCGGGGGTGCCCACCGACGCCGCGCGAGGATGCCCACCGACGCCGCGGCTCGCGGCGCGCGGCGGGCAGTCGCGTGGGCTGGCGCCCCCGCGGGAAGAGCCTCACGAGCCTTTTGCCGCCGGCCGCCGCGCCCACTGACCGCCTCCTGCTCCTCTCTTGGGCACGAAGGCGTGAAGGCACGACAGGGGGGTCGTTTGAAGATCCCTCCTCTTCCTCCCCCTCCCTGGACCCCTTCCTCCCTCATCTCCTCCCTCCCTCCCTCCTCCCATTCCCCTGCGCTTTCCCTCCTGGCCCTCCCCCTCCTCTCCTCCTCCTAGTCTCCATCCTTCTCCTCCTCCCCTGGAGCTCAGGAGGCCGCCCGACTGCTTTGGAGCCAGACTTTTTTCTCGCGTCGTGCGTGCGTGCCGGCGGGGGGGGGGGGGGGCTCTTCTCGGCCTCTGGAGCCCCCGCCTGGGCCCAAGGCCGTCCAAGAGAGCCTCGGGGTGAAGAGTTTGGCCCCGTGGACGGCGTCGAGGCCCCTGGGGGCCCACGCTATGACAGCACGACGTCGGAGTTGTGGGGGATGGAGGGGGGAGGGAGGGGGAGGCGGCATCTCCACGCTTTCTCGGCAGACTGGTTTTTTCCAAGGCGATTGGCCTGCTTCCGGAAAGGAGTCAATGCTGGTTCGCAAGAATGTTTCCTGAACAATCCGCATGCCACAAGACACCTGGAACAGCAACTCGTAGGGAATCGTGGGTCCATAGTATATGCTTATCTACCGTGCATACATACATTTACGCGCTGCTGGTGTGCACACCGTCCATAGCTTCAATATGTATGCATATGCAATACGTGGGTGCGAGATGCTAAGACATACGTCTATTTATATACCTATATATATATAGGTATATATATATATATATATATATATGCACGCACATATACACATGCACACACACACACACGCAAGCACACACACACACACACACACACACACCCTCTCACACACACTCACACACGCACACACTGGGCTCGCACGTGTACGCAGACTCCTGCAAGGCACGTTCGGGCAAGTAGCGGGGGTGATTTCGTGGAGAACTGGTTCCATCTCTCTGCCTGTCTTGGACTGCCCGTCTCCACCAGGAGCGCAGAGAAACGTTCGGCGAAGGGTTCTCCTCGGGTTCTCTGGATGCCTGGTCGTCCTTCCCTTCGTCAGCGTTGTCTTCTCACCATGCCACCGTATGAGTCAGAGTCTGTCTCGCGGCGCAAGTTACTTTACAGTATATTGCGTGTTGTCGTGCCCGAGCATGATGCAGTCCTCGGTTTGCCACTCACGTCAAACAGGGAATGGTGCTTAGACGTCAAGCAAGATGCTGCCCAGGAGAAATGCATGACCGAAGCTTATCATGACCGACCCAGTGCCCAGGAGCACCTGTGAGGTTTGAAATTCGTGGTTGTGGGTCCCTTGATGACGATTTGCAATCTTCAAACCAACACAGGATGCGAAGGCGCCGGAGAGCACTCCATTTCGTGCTTCGAATCACGGTGGTAGCATTGTTTAGTCAACACGTGCCTCAGCAATTTCATTTACCACGTCACATTGCTCAGCACATCAAGCCACCCACACAACAGCAACGCATAACACCGCACAAACCACAAACACCGCACTACAACAATGCCACCACAAAAGCAATACGCAACCGAGGCAACATACATAATACATAACAGCAAACCACATCACACTACGCACCGAGCACCAGCACACCACAACGCAGTACGCACCATCCCTACACCGCAACACGCAGTCAGTCCGAAACGCACACCACCATACACCACAACACACACACACACCGCAACAAAACATGATACAGCACATACCAAACACAAGGCAGCCGATCACAACTCCACACATATAGGCACAATTGCATCAGCAATGCCCAGCGCAACATCACACTGCGAATCACACACCACCTAAGAGTATTACACGACGCGGCGCGACGTATACAACCATTTGATATCGTTGGCATGTTTCGGGATTTCAATCTTGAGCGCTTGATTCTGAACGCCTTGATAGATGGTTGTAGACAAGCGCCGACCCGAATCACCCTGACCCGTTTAGGACATCGGGTTTGGAAGCTTGGATTTGCGTGGGTGCATGCATTACATTGTTGCAGTGCCCACGGATGCGAAACTCTACCATGGGCCTTGAACGCATTGAACCGTTATTGATTCACTGTGTAGCGGGTAATTCGGTTGCTTGACGTTCTATCAATTCGTGCGTGGCGTTTAATGTGGTTCTGGTTCTCAAGGAACCCATAGCGAGGCTCGCTAAGTCCATTTCACTAGCCAGGGCCAGGCCAGGCCACCCCAAGCCGCGGCTCCCGAAGTCGCGAGGCTCTGCAAGTCCAGTTGCCATAGGCAAGGTGTCGAAGGCCAGTTGTGTCTCACCCGCGACAAGGCAAGATCACCGTACATGGAAAGGCGGGAAGGTTTCTTACTGCCTGTTGGTGGAATGGTCACCGCCACAGGTAAAGGTAGCACTTGGCGTCAGAAGGCCGCGATGTACAACGATGGAGCCGTCAAGCCCTCCATGACCAGCATGGGTGAAAGCCAAGTCGTTGACATTGCGTTGAATCTGCCGCAGGAAAGTCGTGACGATAGCGCGGAGGTTGACCGATTTCTTGTTGTCCCGTGAGTTCCGGGGCAGCAGCAAGTTGCCCGAGTTGTTGAAGATGCAGGTCTGCAATTAAAGTACGAGAGATGCACACACATGTGTTGATTACATTTGGAGTTGCTGGCTGTGGCTCGTGCGACGCGCTCATATGTGGACTGGGCGCATGTGGCTGGTGCACGAAAAGGCATGGCGTGGCACTTTTGGGTCTGTTGTGGGTGTCGAACTGCGCAGTGCTGCGCTGATAGCGTGAATGCTTCAAATGGCGATTGCATTCATGGACATGCGTCGACCATGTTCGCAAACGTCGAGGCGAGTGTCAGCAAACTCAGAATCATCAAGACTTCTGGCGGGACAGCGGGCGCGATTGGTTCAAACACCCAACGCGCAACAACTAATATTGCGGCCGTGGGCTTTTGATAGTGCTCTCGTGTCCCGCACACCGATGTCGAGGGCAAGTCGTTTTGCTGACGGCCCCAACGCCCAAACAAGCTTAGCCAGCAATCGCTATAAGGTCTCTTCGCTGCGAGTCCGAATGACCACGTCTTGTTGGGATACGTTGGCTCGTACTCCAGGGAACTGCCTTCGACTGAGCAAGGCTTACTACACGTGACCCTCCTTTCGCTGTCTGCTTACGTAGTTTATATACGCGGGTCGTCTTTGCTCCAGTGAGTCGGTGCTGGACCAAGGCAGTGCCTTGAAGAGTGCTCGCGCAGCGTCCCACTGGCATGTAGGATATCCTAGGGAAGGTGTTTCGCCTGGTCGGATTTAGTTTTTGAACAAAAAATGTTAAACTCACTGAAAAGGCCAAGGGGAAGTATGGCTTCGAATGGCATTCTTGCCAAGGGGTTCCTCGCCGAACCCCCGGCCGCGCGGAAGAGGGCCTGAGCTCGAGCAAGCCGCAGTCTTATAATGATCAGTGATTTGAGGCCCCTTTCGGCGCCGGAGCCGCCCAATCTCAGCATGTCTTACATCGCGCGGCTTCGCGATTCTGGCAGGGGAAGCCGCTGGTGGCGCCGCCACCAGGGAGGCAGGAGGGTGGCTGCGACGACGGCGGCGGCGGTGGCCGCGACGATGACGACATCGTCGTCTTATCGGAGGTTTTTGGGCGTTCCTCGGAGATCTCAGCAGCGGCAGTGCAGAAAACAAAAACAGCATGGACAACAAGTTTACATCTACCGGGACGCAAGCCAAACGTGACAGATATGCAAAATCATGGTACATACCAGTTGTTCAAACATTCTGTCCCACTGAAAAGCTTGCCACGAGTCCTGCGAAATGAATGCTTCACGAAGGATGAAGTCGTGCTAAGGGCAAGCTCGAAGCGAGCGTTAAACATGATTTGGGCAGATTCGCAGCATGCGAAACGCAGGCTGAACAGAGCCTGAAGGCAAGCGACTCGACAAGCTACGGACGCGCGAAAAGCAAGCACTATAAATGACGACCCGGGCATGATTAACAAATAAGGGCCATGCCATTTTATTCTGCCCCCTTCCTCAGGGACGGCTTCGCGCGAGCGCGGATTGCGTGACCGGGTACTCCACGAGAACAAGCACGTGGCCATGGAACCCACGGGAATATGGCAATCCACGAGCACGAGCGTGGTAACAGGTAACAATTTCTACCTGAATAGCTTGTCTGTAAGAGTCTTGCGAGGCCAGTGGTTGCCTCGCCGATAGCCCGTGGTCGCCCGTCGTCCTGCGTCATGCCCCCCGTCACGACAGGCTTGTGCTGTATCGACGCGGCGGCGACCGCAGCGAGAGCTATCCAGGTTGAACGCCGCCATTGGACCAGAATCGGCCGACAGCGAGCGATCCTGGGCTGTCAGAGGGCCGTGCGCGCAGGGGCCGCACCTCCTGTGCAGCAGCCGTGCGCGCTCTGAGCTGGGCGGACTCTGCCGCCGCTCACGCCGCTCCTGACGGGAGCCGTGTGAACGGCGGCCCCCTTCTCGGCGGCGGCGGCGTCTGCCCAGACATTGCCGCTGCGCTCCCATGTGGTGGACTGTCCGGCGTCAGCGTAAGCTTGCCCAGCGTGCGCTTGGTTCAGCGAAAGGCGGCGGCCTACAGGCGGACCCCAAAGGTCCTCCACAGGTGAAGTCGTGGGGCGTTGGTCCGAGTGCCGATGACGAGCCAACATTGCAGTATTTGCACACTGGACTGGCGATCCGGGTAGATGTTGAAGGGTGCCATGGCGATTGTAATGAGCATCTGGGTTGCGTGCGTTGGACAGGGGACAGGACTGAAGGGCACCAGCCTATACGCAGCGGCCGTCTGGCCCCAAACCATAACATTCGCCGCAATGTATCATCATGGTCACCACGACTCACTCTGCCCTGACAAGCCATGCCATCAGCTTCATTTGGGCGGGGCCATCGATGAACAGCCGTCCAGTCAGATACCCACTTTCCAGGCTCTGATACTTGAAGACAAGCAGATGGTGAATGGGCAGAGGACGGAGTGGAGGAGGAGGACGAGAAGAGCTGGGCTTGTTTCAGTTTTGATAAGGGGTATCCATAGATTTCGACATTCGGAGAAGTTGATGCAAATCAGCACTTCGCTCTCAACCGCCCCTGCCGCAATCCATGCTTGTTCTGGTCGTCAAGTCGGAAGCAGCTGGCATGTTCAAAGACTGTGGGCAGATCTAGAGTTCTTGTGGCGGCCCTTCCCCCAAGGCCTTTGTTTCAACCCGAGTCGCTGTTCGCCGGGCACTTTCGATGGTCGGAAATTCTTTTTGCTGACCTGAGTTTTGCCACGGCGCGAGGAGCAGGTGGAGGAGAAGGAGGCCTGGCGATAGGGGGAGAGTTTCGAGGAGATTCGGATGCATCTCCTGGAAGATTGATATTTACATCGGCGCTGGATATACCGTCAAAAACTGTCCTCTTTCGGCACAGTCCCGTATACTCCAGCTTGCTAATTCCGCTCAAGTCCGGCCTAATTTGGCTCAAGACCCCTCTACTCGGGCTCAATGGCCTCGCAACAAAGCTCAATCGCCTTTCAATCTTTCGTCCGAGGAATTCCCAGAAGCTGCCTCCAAGTGGAGGTGGAGGTGGTTCCCTTGCAAGTGTGAGATGCGAGCCCTACTGCTGACCTGTGCAGAGCCTTGGAAGGCCGTGGCCGCTGCCAATTGCCCCTCAAATGGCGCAGGCATCATGTACAACATTCTGGGAGACCTGCTCCACAGCGCGCGCAGGCCAAGACAACACTGACTTGGGGAGCATGTGGACGCATCGGCCGGTAATAGAAGAAGAAAATACATAAACTTCTGGCGCTCCGCGCGGATTGCTTGGATTCGCGCCGGACCCCCTTCCCTGGCGCGAGGAGCGCGCCAGGGGCGGCGCCAGAGGCGCCGCCGGGGGGCCCGGGCGCGGATCCAAGGAATCCGCGCGGAGCGCCAGAAGTTTTTGTGTTTCTGTGGTTCGCTCTTCTTCGAGGTAAGACGCCATAAAAAATGAGCGAGGAGGGCCGGCGGCGCGCACAAGGGGGTAGGGGGAGGGGGGAAGGCTTCTTAGAAGGAGGCTGCTTCTTAGAAGGCGCGGGCCTTACATCTACAGAGAAGGCCCGCGCCTTCTAAGAAGCAGGGCTGCTTCTAAGAAGCCTTCCCCCCTGCCCCTACCCCCCTTTGCAAACGCGCGGCCGAGAGGGGGAGGTGGTGGTCGGAGCCGCGACGCGTCGAGCAGGGGCGCCGCGCGTGCGAACCGCCCCCGCGCCCCGCGGCGGGCCGCCCGGGGCCATGGCCCGGGTGCGCCCCGAGGCTGCTCGGCGCGTGCCTCGCGGGGAAGAGGCGGGCATATCCATCGGGCCGGACGAAAGGGGCAGATTGGGAAAGGGGGCGTTACGAAATTTGCTGCATGCAGCTGGTTTCGGCCCCACCGAGGGGCCCATTCCTCGATACATGGCCGCCTCCGGCGCCAGGAGGCGCCGGGAAAATCAGCTAAGTGAGCTGATTCTCAAGCCCCCCCTTTGCTATCCCTCCCTTTCGCCCGACCCGAATCCAGAACCCCGGGCAAGGGGACCACCCACCAAGCCACCCCAACCCAACCCGAAGGCCTCCATTTGCCCTCCATTTCCAGTGGGGGGGGGGTCGGGGAACACTAACAAAAACACAAATGGAACCCTTACCCCCCCCCAACCCGGAATTCGAGTCTTCGGGTTGGGTTGGGATGATCTGGCTAGGTAGTCATAAGGGGACCTGGTGAGTAGCTGGGGCCCCCGAGCCCCTAAATTGGCCAGAATCACTGAGCCTGGTCTGCCGCAGCTGGTGTTTTTGTCGGGTGGCGGCAGTTCCGGTTGGCCGAACGGGGCGGGAGGGCGCCCCCCAATACACATCCCTAAGCCAGGTCCCACGAAGCCCAGTCTTGCCAACGCCCGAGATAGGGCCCCACGAATCCCAGACTCCCTCTGGCCATGAAAAAATCACGACGGTAGTTTTGTTCACTAGTTTCGGCCTCTGGGGGCTCTTGCTGGGCCCTGGGACCGTCAACAAAACGACTCGGGGTGAACAACGGGTCCTAGGGAATGATGGGTCAGGGTTTCCAGGGGCCCCGTAATGATGGAGAAAATCAAGACGTCGGATTTCTGGGGCCCCTGAGACAGGGGCAGCGTCGAGGTGTTCGAGGTGTTCTGGCCTCGAGCTGACAATGAAGCGAGGTCGCGGCCATCGTTGCCCCGAGGTGCCCCATACCTCCTCTGCTCCTCGTCCTCCTCCTCGATGCTCGATGCTCCGTTTTTGTGTTGCGCGGGCTGCAGCATCGGAGCTTTAGCGCTCGTGGTGAAGTTATATTGGCCACGGTTGTCCAAAATAGTGAGTTTCTACCCATATCCGTAGTGCAATCGATGTTGCACACACACACACACACATATATACATATATATATATACACATACATACATACACATACATACATACATACATACATACATACATACATACATACATACATACATACATACATACATACATACATACATACATACATACATACATATATATGTATAAATATAATGGTGCGAACTAGGTGGTGCAAAATATGTGGTACCATTCGCCCGGCGAGATACCTTGATCAGGGAAGTGTAGAAGCATGCAATGCAACACCTGCCCTGAAAGTGTTTCTCGAAGGTCGCTTGGAGCCATCTTGGGTCTCTCTTGGGGTCCTCGCGGAGCCACTTGGGGCACTCTTGGGACCCTCGTGAGGCTTTCTTCAGGAGGTCTAATGCCCCTCTTGGGGATCTTTGAGAGGGTTTGGGAGGCCTCTTGGGGCCATCTTGGCCCCCTTTATGCAGGAGTAACAGATTCATGTCCCCACGTCGGAGGCTCAAACATGTCGTACTGAGGCCCTCTGGAGCCGTTCTTGGAGCGCTCTTGGGGCCGTCTTGGAGCCCTCTTGGGTCCCTCTTGAGGCTCCCTTGGGCCATCGTGGAGCCATTTTGGGGCCTCCGAGGCTCATCGGAAGCGATAAGGAGAGAAGGCACATATCATCGATTTTCCTGAGTTGTTGGGGGTCCCTGGAGTGCACGGAGGGCACCTGAGACCATCTCGGGACCATCTTGAGGCCTCTTGAATGTGCGTCGGCGGCTATCTTGAGCCATCTTGAGTCATCGTGAGCCATCTTGAAGGCCATCTTGGGATCTCTGAGGCCCTCCTGCAGCCGTCTTGGGCGATATTGGGCGCTCTGACCGGTCGCGCCCCCCCCCGCACCTCCCCAAGCCCATGGGAGGGGGTATGGGGGGGGGGGACCCCTCCCCCGAGCAGGAGAAGGGGTTCGCCCCTCCCCCTGCTCGGGGGCTGGTTAAACAGAGGGCTGGTGGGATATGCTGTGCAATCGATGTGGTGCTATACATATATAAATACACATACATATACAGATACATCGATGTACACATACATACATATTCCTCCTTCTATATTTTTACAAGCCTGGGCGGGGAGAAAACCCGTCCCCCCCCAAAAAAAACCGGACTCCCGGGATCTGGGGCTTAGGGACCCTCGAATCCGGACGGGCCTCGAAGCGGCCCCCCCGGCCTCGCAGGACGTGGCGCGCTCCCGAAGCGACCCCAGAGAGCCCCAATACTGTCGACGACGACCCCCAAGAAGCCGTCATACCCCCAAAGATCTTTCCGAAACGTCCCAAGAAGCCTCCAAGAGCACTCCCAAGAAGGCCCCAAGAGGCAAACATCATTGATTCTGATGGTTTTTGGTTTATGTTTTGGCTCTTCTCTTTTCGGCTTCCCAACGCTCCATGACGGCGGTCTTCTGGGCGTCCGAAGCCGCCTGGGAGGCTCCCAAATCGCCCCATAACCATCCGAAGGGCTTCCAGGCAGTCCAAGAGAGCCCCAAAACGGCACAACAGGGGTCCAAGATGGCCCTCAGACAGCCCCATGGCAGCCCAAGATGGCCCCAAGACGCCCTCCGAAGCATTCCAAATCGTGACCCGGTCGTTCAAGGAGACCGCGGTTGGAGGCAGGGTGGCCCGAGGAAGCCCCCAGAGGCTCCCAGAACACGCCCAGGAGGCCTCCAGAAGGCCTTAAGAAAGCTTGAAACAACTTTTGTGAGGCCCCCAGAGGCTCTCCAAGGAGGAGCCTCCGCAAAAAGAGCTGAGGAGGATGGGGAGAATGCGCAGGGCACGGCGAGCATGAGGAAAAAGAAGCATGGAGGAAGGATAACGAATACAATTATTCTAGCGGCGATGCCAGAAAAGGAGTGATCGCTAAATTGTCGGCTTAACCTTTCTGCCAGTCCGCCTGCATACCAAACTTCAAGGACCAAGGTGCATGGCGCGAAGCGCCACTGCAGTCTTGTGTGTGTATTTTTATATATATATATATATATATATATATATATATATATGGTCGCCCCCCCCTGGTATCATACCATTCGCCGTTCTGCGAAGGGCGACTGCGAACGGCGAATGATATGATACCAGAGGGGGGGGAGAGGAGTAAGGGAGAGAGGAGTAGGCGGAGGAGACGGAGGAGGGTGTTTTTTCCTTTTTTCCCCCTCCCCGCCCTCGGAGGCGGAGTTTTTTTTCCATGTGAAAACACAGGTTTCCCCTATTCTTACAATTTTTCATATTTTTCGGGCCCCCCCTGGGGCGGCGGGGAAACCCCGAGGGGCCGAACGGGAGAGCGAAAAACAGAAGAAAAAAAACAATTGGAACAAACTTGTGTTTTCACATGGGAAAAGAGGAAAAACTCCGCCTCCGAGGGCGGGCAGGGGGAAACAAAGTAAAACAAACACCCTCCTCCGTCTCCTCCGCCTACCCCGGTCCCCCCTCCTCCTCCTCCGTCTCCCCAAATGGGGGGAAACAGAGAAGGGCAGGGCGGTGTTTTCCTTTTTCCCCTTCCCCGCCCTCTGAGGCGGAGTTTTTGTTCCTCGTTCTCCCTGTGAACACATAAGTTTTTGTTTATTGTTTTTTAATGTTTCCCCTTTTTTTTTGTTCCTTTTTTCCCTCTTTTTCGGGAAGGGGGAGGAGGAGGCGAGTTCCTCTTGTTGCCCCCTCCCCGCATTCGGAGGCTGAGTTGTTGTTTTGTTGTTCCCCATCGGGGTGGGGGGAGGAGGAGACGACGAGCGTTGGTTTTCAATTGCCTCTACGACGGTAAGCTGCATACTGGGATGAACTCGTCGTCGCACAACAAGCGCAATTGGACAACTAAACAGCACGGCGTGGCATAATGAACGCGAACGAACTTATAACAACCTGCGCGGCCTCCAGCCGCGAACGCCGTGCATTATCTACATCAAAGTACAAAAAGAGTTCTGTCTCCATCATTCCGCTGGCACGTTCGCCGCCAACCTATGCACCGCCTCCACCTATCACCGCCACCGACATCGTCACACCCCACTTTTCAGCGACGGACTTCGCCGCCGCGCGGAGCTCGTCCATGGCATCCGCGGGGGTCAGAAACACGGCGCCGTCAAACATGTACGTGTTCATCGAAACGCCGTTGACGGAAGTCACCTCCTTCTCCAAGTCAGATAAGATCGTGTCCTCCACAGAGCTCAAGGCGTAGTGGAGCTTGGATGCGGCGGGGCAGCGGCGGTTAGCGAAGCGGCCCTCCAAGTAGCTGAACTTCTCGCATGCCAACAGCATGTCCACGGCTTTGTGCATGTCTACGGCGAGATCCCACATAAACGGGGGGCCGCACGTCGGCATCCCCAAGTGGACGATCTTGATGAGGAGCTTCTTCGCCTCCTTCGGCGACACGCACATGTAGGCCGCGAGAAGCGATCGCCACGCCTTGTAGTTCGCAGCGAACGCCGAAAGGGTAGGCAGGTCCTCATCCACATTGCACACCTGCGAGAGCTCGATCATCAAGAGAGCCACGAAGCAGTTGTTGATGTCAGCCTCGGCGAAAACCTTGCCCACGGTCAACCAAGACAGCCACCCGACGCACAATCACGCGGCGAAAACGTACCGTCACCCATTCGCTCTCCCCCAGGGCCTTCAGCAGCAGGAGGGAGGAGGAGGGAGGGAGGATGACTGGTTTTGTAGGGTCCTGCAGAGTGATTCCCTTTTGTGGAGGGGCCTCCACATATTGATTCGTCTTGTGGGGGTTTTGTGGGAGGCCCCCAAGATCGATGGATAATCGAAGGAACGACGAACATATGCAGAGAAGTCGGATCAGCGATAAACGAGTAGAAGGAACGACAATGATAATGAAGAGTAGGAGGGACAATAAAGAATAGAAGGAACGAGGGCGGTAAAGAAACTTGCGAAGGGGAAGAATATGACGAGGCCCTGCAACGGAGAAGGGTGGGAGGAAGGGGGAGGGACGAGGGGTGAG